TCTTATTAATCCTCATTTAAAAAAAATAGCTATAACATATATTAAATAAAAAATTTTATTTAAGTAATATTTAATTAGAAATAAATATAAAATTTTATTAATAAATTGTTACATCTCTATTTTATTAGATAAAAAAATCAGATCTATTAAAAATGAATAAAGGGAGTATTATAACAGGTTTTTTTTAATTTTTACTCTTTAAATGCATATTAAAGGTATAATAAATATATTTTTATTACAAATTTATATTGAAAGAATAAATATTTACCTTCAAATTATTAATTATCTAATTAAATTTATCAACATAAGAATGACATTAAAATTAGTATTAGTTTTTATATTTTTTAATATAAATTAATGATAAAAATATATCTTTTATAATACAAATCTAATATTTTAAATTTTAAAAATTTTTGTAAAATTATTTAAATATCCTTATTAAATATTTTTTTATGTTGATTCATTAAAAGTATTTTAGTCTTTTTATTTTCATATTTGACATTTTAATTGTTTTTTAAACAATTTTGAAATGCAATTAAAATATTATAAATGATAATAAAAAGATTAAAGTACCTTTAGTAAATCAATAAAAAAATATTCATTAAATGTATTTAGATAATTTTACAAAAAGTCATAACATTTAAAATATCAACATTTTTTTAATTTTTTTTTCAAATATACATTTTTATCATTAATTTATATAGAAAAACATAAAAATTAATATTGATTTTAGTATCATTATCATATTAATAAATTTAATTAAATAATTAATAAATTAAAAGATAATATTATTTTTTCAATACAAATTTATGACAAAAAATATATTTATTACAATTTTAATACGTACTCACCTAAATTTAAAAAATTCCTTTCATAATAATTAATGAAAAAATTAAAAAATATGTTAAAAAATTCTTTATTAATTAGATAGTTTAATTAAATTTAAGAAAGTAATTTATAAAGATTATTGAAGTAAATATATTGTTAATTACAATAAAAAAATCATTATTTTATTAAAAAATATCACTTAAAGATATGTATATTATATAATATTAACTAATTAATTTTTTAATATATATTATGATTAAAAACAAATGAAGTAAAAGCAAACAAAAAAAGAAAAAGCAAAGGCGTGCAGGTGCAGTGCCACGCAAGCCGATGACAAACGGCGTCAGGAAGCCAGTTAGCGGAAGGGCTGATTTGCACCCATCGTGGGGTAGGAGGGCTTATTGCCACTTTTTTAGTTCAGGGGCTTATCACTTGCTGTCGAAAAAGTTGAGGGGCTTAAGATGGGTTTTGCCTTATATGATTGACCATACATATTAGGGGTCATTGGTGAGCTGATTTTTTTATTTGTTATTGTAGAATTTTTATTTTTGATGAGTTTCGCGAGATTTTAATTAATTTTATATTATTTTATTTTTTATACAGATAATAATTGAATTCGAAGAAATCAAAATTCTTAGGACCAAACTGAAGGGATCAAAACTCCAAGGACTAAAGGAGAACTTAGGGACCATAACTGCCATTTTGCCATTAAACAAAATTACTTTTTGACCCAAAAGTCCGACACAGGCTCTTCGTTTAACGATTAAGTAAAGGTTTCCGCGCCAACCGAGCCTGTGGCCCAATGATTGGTCCCAAGTTTTAGGGTTTGGATGAAGTGGAGGTCAGGATTTCGTGTTTTGTTACCGTCGTAAATTTCACCAACTTGCGACTTAATGGTCGCACACCTCTTTTGAGAGGGTGCATTATTCATCATTATGGGAAATTTCAGTTGCTAATAACTAATTCTACTAACTTTTTAACCGTTACACTTGTCAAAAAAAAAAAAAAAGTGAAGGTTTCCGCACTTCGGCTTGAAGTGTCAAGTCAATCCCTCGGGCAAATTTTCGCAATTCCGCATAAAACTTTTAGGTTAAATGCTAAATTTAGTTTCTCAACTTTACGAAATGAACATTTTTTGTCCCTTAATAATTTTTTACACTTTTTTGATCCCTTGACTTTAAAATTTGCACAATTTTGGTCCTTCCGTCAGTTAAGTGTGATGTGGCAGTTAAATAATTTCATGTGGCATTATCTTTTAATTTTTCTGATGATGTGGCAATAATATATATTATAATTATATTATATAAATAAATAAAAATGCCACATATATTAATATTTATATTTTAATTAAAAACAAATATAATTACCTTATTACCCTCACCCTCCCAAACCCTCTTCTTCCCCTTCCTTCTTTCTTTCTCTTTCTTTCTTTCCTACCCTGGGTCAGTGCAAAGATGAACCCAGCAAACAAAACCCAACAAACAAAACCCAGCCTTCCTCACCCTCCCAATCCCTCTTCTTCCCCTTCTTTCTTTCCCTTTCTTTCTTTCCCACCCTAGGTCGGTGGAAAGCTGGGTTCATTGGAACCCAGCAGATGAAACCCAGCCTTGTTGGGTTCGTCGAAACCCAGCAAAAGCTAGGTTTCGGTTGATTACCTTCTTCTTCCAATTTTTTGAAAAAATCCTTTCTTCTTCCAATTTTTCGATCTTCCGATTCATTACCCGTGAGCCCTTCATCTCCTAATTCTTTCCATTCTACCCATGAAGAATCTATAATCACTTGCAAATCTAGATCGACTAATTGTTCTCGGATCGTCGATTAACAATTTGATTGCATTTTCCTTGAAATTTGATTAGAGTTTGATTGTATTTTTGTTGAAATTTGATTAGAGTTTGATTGATATTATTTATTGAAAGGTTAATCTGATTTGATAACATCTGCTAGGTTTGAGGCTCCAATGAAACCCAGTAGCTGGGTTTAATGACAGAGAATTCCTCTGGTTCATAGACATATTATTTTGTAAGGACTCACCCCACTAGCAGTAGAGGCAACCCAACTCGAGTTAGATTGATTTTGCAGAGAGTGAAGGTGAGAGACCATTCTAGGGTTCACAGATCTTATTGGTGGTTTGCAAGCAACGTGAAAGCCATTAAAGGGTCTTTGGTGCAGGAAGAAGATGACATGTCATAAAAAAAAATCCATATCAGCACTTTTTAAAATTGTTCTTGCCATGTCATAAAAAAAAAAATCCATATCAGCACTTTTTAAAATTGTTCTTGCCATGTCATAAAAAAAAAATCCATATCAGCACTTTTTAAAGTTGTCCTTCCCATGTCATAAAAAAAAATAAAAAAATGCCACGTGGCCGAGTTAACGGCTCAAATTGACAGAAGGACAAACGTTGTGCATTTTTTAAAGTTGAGGGATCAAAAAAGTGCAAAAAATTGTTATGTGACAAAAAATGTGCAACTCACTAAAGTTGAGGAACCAAATTTAACATTTAACCAAACTTTTATTATTTTTGTGTGGAACCATGTCTATTCTAATTAAAATTTTTAAAATCTTATAAATATTCTTTAGAAGACTTTTGTAGCCCTTTTGGTATATTCTTGGAGAATAAGTTATAGGTATAACAAGAATTTATTAACTATAGAGAATAAAGTCAGTCAACATTTTTAAATTGAATTTTACTTTCCTTAAGTATTATTTTTTTGTTTTAACATAAATTTGTAAATCATAACTATAATTTTAAATTTTATTATTTTTAATAAAAAAAACTTAGGTTCTTAATAATTTGAATTTCACAGAATAACATATTAAGTAAATTTAAAGATAATTAAAGTTAAAAACTTATTTTACAATTTAAATTACATTATTTCTTAAAACATGAATCATTAAATTAAAGATGACTCTCAAATGTCTAATGATAAAAAATTTAATTCTTATTTAATAAGTAATATTACACAATCTAATACAATTAAGCTATACAAAACTTTTTAAAGTTTCAATTGAAAAGTGCGATATTATTATTTCCCTGGAGGTAGGACCTATTCACCGCATCACTTTACAAACGAAGAGATATGGTTGGATCTTTCCCACCATTGGCCACTTAAAATTAAGGGCCGCGACCATTTCTGCTCCGGGCAAGCGCCACGAAAACAGTTTTGGTTATCCGAGTACTTCAAACTTGATAATTTTGGGAGCTGGGAAGGACTGAGGTTACGGAGCTACCAGACCTATTTTGGTTGAGGCCCATGAATTGACCTCTAAGAATTCGTTAAGGTTGTGTTTGGAAATTTAAATTTGAATTTAAAAATTATATTTAAAATACATGTAATTTAAATATATATTTTTTAAATATTTATTAAAATACACAATTTGAATAAATTAACTTATTATGAATTTAAAATTGAATTAATATTAATTTTTTTTATTAAGACATTTTTACAAACACTTAGTAAACAATCTTAGTTACCCATGTCATTAACCTTATTTCTTTCCATCTGTTTGAAGTACTGTACCAAAAAACTCAAAAATATCAGGTTTAAAGCCAATTTTCGTCCCTCTACTTTAATATTTTATTCGTTCTTGTCCCTCTATGTTCGTTGTCATCCCTCTACTCTACCAAAGAGCCAAAACGTCGTACCTCTACTTTGTCTTTTTTGTTCGTTGTCGTCCCTCCCTTAACACCGTTAATGTTGCCATCACTGCTGACCGTTAAGTCTTAAACGGTCAGCAGTTAAACCCATTTATTCTTTTTTTTTTTTCCACATGTGCTGCCATGTGCAAGAATGGGACCACTTTGCCCACTTTGCCTCCCTGCTTACTCAGACCCCATACTTTCATTTTTTTTTTTTTGTTGCAGAGATGCCATACTTTCTTCTTCTTCTTTTTTCTTTTTTTGTTGCCAGGATGCCAACGAAAACACCTACGAACAAAATAAGCCAAGCGGAGGAATCATCATTTAACTAACTTAAAATAATAAATTTAATTAAATACGTATAATTTTTGAAATTTAAATTAATAAATATTAAAAAAATAATATAAAATAAATTCACCAAACATGATAATAAGAGAAAACTTAATTTTAAATTAAATTTACTATAAAATAAATCTTAAATATAATTTAAATAAATATAAGATAAAGTATTAATTTTCAAATACAAATTGTA